TCCAAATAATAAAAAAAAATGTCATAATGACCATAAATACATAACACAATAATATAAGATAAGATGATGAAAACATTAAATATAATTACGTCACATAACTATAGTATCATTGTACAACCATACACCACTCAAGAATAACTCATTATCTGGTATTTCATCTTTTATTAAGTATAAGACGTCACCCTAAGGTGACAAAAACGAAAATTAGTTAAAAATTTGCTAGACAATCTCTTATTATGTAATGTTAAGTATAATTATAAAAAATCCACTTAAAATTATTGAACAATGTTCACATTCTACTCAAGATAAGTTGCACGGTTCCAGATGAACCGATGTAGAAAGTATTTTTATCAGATTAAGAGAATTGTTACTGACAAGATTCAAACTCGTACCTTAGAATTGAAGACTCGATACTCCAACCACTAAACTACTAGGATTTTCTGATAATAATTTATAAATAAATTATATTTATATACAAATAAAAATGTATATCCATGTAAATATATAAATATAAAATATATAAATACAAATATATTTATATATTTATATGTTAGATGTGAGAGCACGCTCGAGGGTGAAAGTGTATGTCAAGTGGGTTTTCAAAATTTTTGTGAGCGAGTCTCTTTATATGAATTTGTAATTTAATGACAAAATATAATCTTTATAATTTATTTACATAATGATATAAAATATTTTTTTCTTTATTTTATGTCATTATATAAATTAATTATAAAGATTATATTCTATATCATTATAAATAAATTATAAAAATTATATTTTGTCATTAAATTATAAATCCATATAAAGAGACTCGTTCACAAATTTGACATCAAATTTTGAAAATTCACTCGACACACACTTTCACCATCGAGCGCGCCCTCACATCCAACATATAAATATATTTGTATTTGTATTTATATATTTTATATTTATATATTTACATGGATATACATTTTTATTTGTATATAAATATAATTTATTTATAAGTTATTATTAGAAAATCCTAGTAGCTTAGTGGTTGGAGTATCAATCGTCAACTTAAGGTATATAATTCAAATTTCTAAAAAATAGACCTCTAGATAAATAGGGTAATTAGAGAGGGGTAAATTTATTGAGTAACAAAATTGTTCCTAATAATCATCATTTAATAAAATCTATATGTCCGAAATTATTTCAAGAAGAAATTTTAGTGAATATGTCAACAAGACTTTGTGTCTTACCTTTTCTTTTTATTATTATAGCCCTTACCTACTAGAATAGTTGTGTGGACGATCCAGATGTAGACTTTTTAGAAAAGTATACAACTAACATATTTAGAATCTTCCTCTTGAAGATCCATTTGAAACAAACAACTTTCTTATCTTTAAGTAGTTTATCCCGTTTCCTTGATTAATTGTTGTGCACCAATCCTTTCTCTTCATATTGTTTTTTTAAATTGTAATAATCATGTATTAACTTGTAAATCAATGTAATTTAAGATATAAGATAATTTTTGTAATATTTTGTAATTTTTTTTCAAATACAATGTATTAAATTATAATATTTTATAACACAAGACCCATCTAATAAATAAATAAATATATATATATATATATATTATCAAATTATAAAAAAAACTAAATAAATAATATTACAATTATTATAAAAAAAATTAAATAATAATAATTAAATGAATGAGCTAAAAAAAGAAATAATAAGCTTTTCTCTTTAAGAGATAAGCATTCATTTAATGAAGAAAAAAATATTATTATAAATACATGTAGGAGAAGGTTAGAGATTTTAAAAGAAATAATAGAGAAATGAAGGAGAAAGAGAGTGAGAAAAACGGAGGAAAGAGAAAGGGAAAAAAGAATAAGAATAAGAAAAACATATATAAGTAATTTCTCAAAGATGTTGATATATAATTTATAATTATTAGATAGAAAAAATATACATGTATTGATAATTTATTTTATTTTAATTATCGTTACATATCGAAATGTTTTTAAACTTATTTTATTTATTATATTGTTTTATCTCTTTACACATTAATTTTGTTTTATATTTACCTGTTTATTAATGTATATCCTATTTTATTTATTTCCAAATCTTCTTTAATATTTATTTATTTATCTTCAATTACACACTAGTTTTATTATATTTATTTATTTATTTATGTTTTTTTCATTTTATCATCATATTCACTTTTATAATTTTTATTTATATTATTTAATTTTTTTAAATAATATTTATTTAAGAAGATTTAATGAAATGTAGACGAAGATTGAATCTTAGACATTAATACAAGTAAATATTACTTAAAAAGTGATTTATTTTGGACTCATTTATGTCTATTAGTCATTACAAAAATCAATTCAAATATTCATAATATAAAATAAATAAAATATAATGATGAAGTTAAAAAGTTGATTTTATATATATTTTGATATTATATTAGTTTAGATGATAATTATCCACACTTTCTATTGTTATCTCTTGTATATGTTACAATTAAAAATATCAACCTAAATAGATAGAGGTGTTAAGATAAAAGACAAATATTATTAAATCAACCACTTTTAAAGAAAAAAATGTTTATCAATTTTAAAAAAAATTTTTATATAAAAATAATATAAACTTATAAAATTCATATATATATATATATATATATATATATATATATATATATATATATATATTTTTTTTTTTTAAATCTTCCTTTTATTAAAATTTAATAAAAAAATTCATCATCAATATACATAGCTAAATTAACAATAAAAGTATCACAATTCTTTCAATATTAAAATAAAATTATTTAAATAAATTTCAAATATATGTAAATAAAATATTCACTTACTTAAAAAAAGTGAAAAATTTACTATTTATCATTATTATTTATTTTATTATAATATAATTTTCTAAAATAACAATCTATATTAATCATAAAATTATAAAAAAATAAAAAGAAAAAAGAAAAAAAAGTTTTAAACTTTCTATCTTTCATATATATATATATATATATATATATATATATATATATATATATATATATATATATATATATATATATATATATATTTATTTATATTTATATATATCTATCATAGATACATAAGTTTATCAATAACAACCTTCCAGTTTTTCAATGTTCAGTTTCAACTTAAATTAAAAAAAAAAAACTACTTGCCAAGATCGTTTTAAAATTAAATTAATATAAATATAAAAAATTTAAAAATATAAATAATAATATCTTATTTATAAAACCGTTTTTATCAAATGATTAATTATATTACATAATTTTTCTATTAATGATGATAATATCTTATTAAAATATTACTTATTTCATAATTTATTGATTTTATTTTATTAAAAAATTATAAAAAAAATATTTATTTTATAAATGATTTAATCAAATAATTATAAAAAAATTTATAATTTTTATAATAAAAATTTATCATCTCAATTTATAACTTAAATTTTATATGTTATAAGATGCACAAATCCGGTTAACTAAGCGGGTTTTTCCAATCACCCAACTTTTTTAAAGTGAAAGGGGAATATAGAGGATATTTAAATGTCAAACTCTTTGCTGCCACTCATCGCACCAAAACTAAAACCCTGACTTTACTTTACCCATTTTCTCCTGCCACTCTTTTCTCATAAAACAAACCCCGTTTTCATTTTTCTAAAATAGGGTTTGCTTTTATTGATGTATTGTCTAAGGCGATGGAAAAGTGAGTGGGGAACATATTTATTTTAAATTATATATAAAAATTTGAAAATATAAATTAAAGAAAGAGACATTATGATTTTTTTTTTATAAATTTTATAACATCAAATATATCTTTATCAAAAATATATTTACCAGACTTATTTAAGAATAAAAATAAATATTTTATTATTAATCTTTATGAATAATTTAAAATTAAAAAAAATACTTAAAATTAAAATAAAGATTTTTATTAAAAATAAATATTTTATTATTAGTCTTTATAAATAATTTAAAATTTAAAAAAAATTACTTAAAATTAAAATAAATTTTTTTATATAAATAGTTATCATCAAATTTTAAATAATTCATAAATATGATTTATGATAAAATATTTATATTTATTCTTTAACCACTCTTATTAAAAAATTTATAATTTTACATTTTTAAGTGGAATTGTAGTTAACAGAGAAGAATTTTTTTTTCTCCCATAATAATTATTCTCATATTTTCTTAAAAAAAAAATCCCTCTCACCCAAAAAATAATATTTTTTCCTTCCTCCCTCCAAAGAATTTTTCTTCACATACTAACAATATTTAATGTAACTAATATACTAAACAATACAATTGATTATATTTATTAAATATAATATAAAATTTGGAAGAAAGATATTAATAAATTATAACTATGATTAACCTTTAAAAGACAGCTTAGTATATACTCTTTCTAGAAACCAAGTTGGTGATCAAATGCTTATATGATTTGATAAAATTAATCCACCCACTTAATTTTTCTTTTTTTACCAAAATAAGTAAATTATAAATTTGATCATTTAAAATACAAGTTCAATAAAACAGTGAATGAATGGATGACAGTGAATATTATATATATATGAAACAACTTTAGTTTATGTCAAAATATTTGTCACTTTTACTAGAAAAAGAAGAAAACGATACGTAGTTATTTTTTCCAATATCATCTTATTAATATATCACTTAAATGATTAAATAAATTTAATACTACATTCTAAAGTTTTAGTAATTATAACTATGATAAATAAAACTAATTTATCATAATAATTTGTATAATTAATGTTTTTTTTAAATGATATTATTTTGAAAAAAAAAACCCGAAAGAAAAATAAAGTATTTATTGAGAAAAATATTCACTTTCATTTGTTGCAAAACGTGCAAGAGTGAGAAAAAAATTTCACCATCTTATTTTGGAAGTCCTAGTCACCATTCACCTAACAGTATAAATGAAAGCACTATTCGGTTTATAAATACACAACAAGGGCTAGATCTGAATCAAATGAATATGGCTTTCTTTATGACAATGCCTAGCGTGGTAGTTCTTGTTCTACTTCTCATTTTGTCACCACCATTGTTGTCTCACCAACCTAAAAATTTTGCTGTAGCAGACTACAAGTTGATGCAAAGTTTATGCCACAAATCTAACACGCCAGAAACTTGTATGAGGTGTCTGAAATCGTCTAAAGGTGCTGTCACAGCAGATAGTGTTGGAATAGCCACAGTCATTGTCCGTTGCATGAAGGTCAAGGCACGTACCTTGGCACAAAACATCACAAAGTTGGATTCCACATCAGATGCAAATCTCAGGTCCATTTCTAAGAGATGTGGAAGAGACTATGGCCACTACATTGCCAGGAAATACTTGACTGAGACCAAGCATGCCCTGCAGAATCACAAATTTGACAATGCTGAATCTTTTGTCATAGGAGCTCTACGTTTAAATCGTGCATGCCACAGGGATCTGAAGGGTAATTTCCATGAAAAAGTGCCGAGTAATGTTTTTATTGATATGAAGGCATATGAGGAGCTTTCTGAAGCTGTTTCTAGAATCATTGAAAAGCTACACAAGGGTTGATGCCCATAAATTGTTGAACTTTTGTTGGTTACCTCTGTATGATCAATTACAATAATGAAATAGCAAATAGATTCATTCATGGTCGATTCTTTGTTCCTGTTTTTGCATTACAATCACATAATTTATCGCAAAAATAACCATAATTAATAGAGTTACAACGAAACTCCGTGGTTCTAATTCATTTTTATCACAATAAAAAACAAAAATTCTCATTTCAATCTTTCATTTTAACCGGAGTGTCAACTGTGTGGAATGGGTATTGATAATGCTATAATCGCTATTTTTAAAATTGCACCGGCTTAACTCAACTAGAAATTAGATATTTTTTTTTAAATAATTAGATTTTAATTAAATTGGAACAAAATAAAAAAATAAGAAAAAATCGATTAAATTTTTAGGTTAAACTGATTTCAGTAAAAAATATTTATAATAAAAAATTTTAATATAATTTTTTATAAAAAATATAATATATTTTAATTTTTTATTTTATTTTATATTAATTACAGTAATTTTAAATAGTAATTATTTTATTATACTATTATCTTATTTTAATAATAATTCTTCTTTCACACTTTAATATATTTTATATTTATAATTTAATCATGACAATAATTTTTATTATTTTTCTTTTTTTATAAAAGATATTATTATTAATAAATTTTTTATATATTTATTATATTATAAAAATATTATTTTATTAAATTTAATTGGAATCTAATTAAATTTTTAAACTTTGAACTCATTTATTTTTCATCCAATCTGATTTTAAAAATATTGGTTACAATAAAATGCAAGAGAGACTATTAAAAGTGATGTTAAAGGAATGTTGAGTATTATATATATATATATATATATATATATATATATATATATATATATATATATATTATAAAATAATTACAAAATTATTATATTTTATAAAATAATTATACAGCACAATATCACATTGCAGCTGGTTACAGCTATAACTGCAATTTTGAATCATCACTCGTTTGATTAATAAATGAAGTTTTCAGTATGTGAGGACGAAATCCTATGTGTTTACGTGTGATATTTATTAGTGTAAACAAGTTGTTTGTTCTATATTATCCTCCTCATGAATTTTTTTTCTTTTTTTTGACATTGTATTTATTGTGGAGAAATTTATCATAAATATTAACTGTGGATTCTTAAATACTTTGTTTAGTATATATTTCTACAATTAAAAAAATATGAAATTATATACTTTTGTAAAGTCATCAGATCCCTTCTTATCTTCTTTTTATTCAACCAGTTACCCCAACCCAATAATAGAATTAATAACAGCTTAAGCTTCGAGTATTCATTTATGACACATCAATTAGTCATTATTGCGAATTGTTCAATCTTCAATTATATTTATCTTTTAAACATGTAAAATATATTTTGATATATACATACACTTGTATTATTTATATATATTTTTATTTTTTTAATTTAGAATTTAGAATTTATCAAAATAAATTTTAAAATAAAATAGTAACGAAGGTTAAAATAGATAATTTCTCGTTAGGGAAACTTAGCTTATTTCAGTTTTACGTGTATACTTGTGGATTACACGTGCTTCTAAAACACTTAGATTGGATGAGAAAGAAGAAATGTCCTTGCATCAGTTTGGTGGCTCAGCAGCTATTTTAATACATAAACCTAAACGTAATGAATAATGGGAAAAAGCATACATTACATGAGGTGGATTAGACGAAATACTATTTCAGTCAAAAGAAATGGTGGCATCAATTGTTATGTTTGGTATTTTAAGCAACTAAGAAAAAAGTTATTCAATCACATAAAGTTTGTATTATCATACTTTCACTGTCAAATTTGTAAGAAAATAAAATATAATTAGTGCAAAATAAAGTATGAGTTCATAAGTTGCTTTTTTCTAATTATGGAGATGTTGATTACATTGGCTTCTTAATTAGTTCAGAATATCTTCTTCTTGTGATATTGTTGTAACATATATTGTATTAGAGATAAACAAGATAGTGAAGTTCTTAATTACTATCTAATTTGTTAACAACAAAACAAATCTAAGTTATATGGCCTCTCTAAAATATTTGTTTCCAAAACTCCTTTTAAAAAAAAAGATCCTAAATATATCGTAATAAAATAAAATAATTAAAAAATTATCCAATTGTGAGTAGTGATCCAAGCAAACAAATAAAGATAACATTTTTTGTTATATTAGAAATGAATAAAAATTATATATTCATATTAATATTAGTTTGTTATATTATATGAAAAAATAAAAATAAAAACTCTATTGATGATTATGTATGCTAATTTTGATATTAGGTGGGATGCAAATTAATGTAATATTTTATCTTTATAGATTACAAAGTAAAAAGTTGACATTAAACTTTATTATTCATGGGTTAATTAGTTCACGACATAATAATAATAATAATAATAATAATAATAATAATAATAATATATTATTATTATTATTATTATTATTATTATTATTATTATTATTATTATTATTATTATTATTATTTATGGGCTTTGATGGATTAATTGGAAACAAATTTCTTCAATATTAAAACAAAAGAAAAGTAAGTTCTTCGAATTAAAAAAAGAGTTAACATTTACTGTTAAATGAATATTTTTGTAATTAATTCATAATTTTAACGGAAAATTAAAACCATATTATTGTTAATAACACAAAAATACGATGGTTTTAATTCTTATCAAGATTTTGGGCAGCGTAAAATATCACTTATTTAACGTTAATTATCCTTTAAAAAATAAATGTAACAATGAAACACTTTAACTAAGGAAAGAAATGAGGATGTTAAAGATTATGAAACTTTGGCAAAGGTAGAAACTTCATTGGTGTATGTAACATTGAGGAATAGAGAATGGCTGTTTTAAAACACCCACAAGTGGCTAATGAGAAAACAGTTCAAATGTATGCTTTTACCATTTTATCATTTCTCTTCTTTGAATACTCTTGCCAAAATGCTTTTATATTATGCTTATACTTTCAATTATGCAATGTTAATCTATTTTAGTTTATGTATGAATAATGTCATTTCATAATTACTAATAGTTTGAATTACTTTCTTACCTGTTTAGTTTTTTCAAACCTGATTACTATTTTATTCCTTTAACTTTATGTAGTTTTTCATTAAGCAAGTTATTTCAATACAATCTATAATTAATAGAAATATTTGGAAATTCCATAATTGAAATGTTTTTATGTTACGTGAAAAATAAAGAAGCAGTGTTAAGTGGTAAAAGTTGATATAATCATGTTTTTAATTATTATGAAATCACTTAACTTATGTCAATTCTAATATATTTTTCTTCCAATGTAGGATGATTTCGAGAATACATTGGTACAAGAGCAAGGAGCATAATTATCAACGTAATTGAAGAAAAATTGAAAGAAAGAAGAACGCTTGAGCGAATGAATGATGCGAGACTCAATCCAAATTTTTTAATAAAAAGATAAGACTCATTTTGAGATGGAAGACGCGATTTTTGGAAGAAGAGGCGCGACTACTACTAGGGTTTCATCCAATCTTCATTAATTCTTCACTTCTTCCTCATTTGGAGCATTGTAATGGTCATCATGAGTGGCTAACTTCATTCTCTTGGGATTGGGTGCACTTCCTTTGAACTCTTTTGTATCATGGTGATATTTTGAGATATTAATCTATGTTTTGATGTTGTTATTCTTATCTTTTGTGCTTTGGAATGACTTATTCTTGATGTTTGGGATATGATTGAAAAATATATCTTGAACCCTAGATCATGGTAAGAATATTTGTTACGTTAATTGTCATGAATGAAATAAATGTATCAATTGCTTAACACCCTAAACCTAATACTGAAAAATCTATTAATTGTGTGCGAAATCAACATTTATTAGGTTTTCTTATGAATTTCATGTGTGAGAAATCAACATGGATGATTCGAGTAGAAGGCATCAACATTGTTAGGTTAATTGATGTTCTTAATTGACATAGTCATTGCAAAAGAGGGAAAAGGAAGGAAGTCAATTTTAAGTGTTTTTAATTGATTTTTTCTAAACAATTTACAGTTCTTTGTCGTTTAAATTCAATTCAACTCTTTATGCAAAACTCATTTTGTTTTAATCCATTTCGTAAGCATATAATTGAGAATTTTTATTGAAATCATTCATCGTGGGATCGACTTTTATTTAATCAAAATACTATACTTGCAATTGATAATTTTGGTACATTTTCCAATAATTCAACAAGTATTTCTGGCGTCGTTGTTGGGGAACGACGTTCCTTGGAAATTCTTTATTTAGCTTATTAAGTATTTGGATATTTTATTTTATTTTCAGTTATTTAAATATTTTATTTTATTTTCAGCTTATTTGAATATTTTATTTTATTTTCAGTTATTTGAATATTTTATTTTATTTTTAGTTATTTGAATATATTTTTTTCAATTATTTTAAATATTTTATTTTCAGTTATTTTAAATTTATTTTTTTACTTTATTTTTAATTTTTGTCCTGTGTTAATATTTGCTTGAGTTGTTCTTTGATTTATCTTTTAAGAGGACAGATATCTTCAAAGCAGTTAGAATTTAATCCGAAGATTGCAAAACCGCTCGGAGGAACCATGGTAGAAGAAAAGAAGAGAAACTGATTATGTTATGCAGCAAGGTCCGAGACACTTCTCCAAGCATTGCAATACCAACCAACCAAACATTGGAGATGAAGTCAGTTTTTTAAGTTTGATTAGTGTTCATCAATTCACTAGAATGGATCATGAAGATCCTTACATTCACTTGTCTACTTTTTATGAGTTGATTGGTACCACGGGATTTAGAGAAGCAGATGTTGAATCTGCATATTTGAGATTATTTTCTTTTTCTTTGGCTGGTAGGACAAAGGAGTGGATGAAGGCACATCCTAATCAGAGTTTGACTAACTGGGGTAATGTAGAAGAGAAGTTCCTGAACGGATTTTTTCCATCATCCCGCTACATTAAGGCAAAATC